ATGATGGAAGCGGGAAGAAGGGAGGCTCAAAAGGAGAGTGGAACCACACTGAAGGGCCTCGAGTGACAGTGGCACTGGGGAGCCACTAAAGAAGCTTGAGCAGGGCCATGGTGATCAGCACAGTGCCCAGTACTTCAGATCCTCAGTATAATACACATTTGTCAAATGAGCTGCTCACACCTCTTTTATTGCTACTAAGCTGGGTGACTGTGTGGTTCTCCACAGAGGCAGAGTGTTCCTGTGACATCAACAGTCTCCTTAAGGAAAGCCTGCTACAAAACACTGCCAAACCCTCAGAAATCAGAGTGGGTTTATGACACTCCAGTGACTGCAGGAAAAGCTAATGTGAAAAATGTGTCTCTAAGGAGCTTCGTGGAAGAATCGGGGCCCCACATGTCCAGTTTCCACAGTCCTCCAAATAGCAGAGCGAGGTCCCTCGCTCCACACCTGTGTGAAAACGTGCAGGTGCAGAAAAACCTCAGCCTTCCAGAAATCCCTGCGTGCCACATTCCAGCACCCAGGGGCACCACCCCTTCGGATGGCAGTGTCAGCTACAAAGTTCCTTCCAGCTTTCTGATTCCCCGCGTGGAACAGCAGAACACCACGCCAAACATCTATGATATCCCTAAAGCTGTGCCAAGTGCCCCTCGGGCCAGAAAAGAGCAGGGGAAAGTTGATGGGGCTTCAGAGAAGGCCGCGGAGCCCCCCGGCACCTGGCTCTCCAGGCAGGCCACGTGGCCCTCTCCTGAGCCGGACAGGTTATCTGTGAACAGTTCCGACAGCAGGGCCAGTGTCACTTCTTCCTGTTCCACCACGTCCACCGACTCTGTGTCTAGCTCCTCCTCCGAGGAGTCCTCGAAGGAGCTCTCCTTGGACCTGGACGTGGCCAAAAGGACGGTAACGGCTCTCCAGCACAAGGTGGCCAGCTCTGTCGCGGGCTTGATGTCCTTCGTGAGCAGTAAGTGGAGGCTCAGAGACTCTCTGGAGGCCAACATCGACTCGATCCGCAGGGCCACCAACCACATCGAAGGATCCCTGAGAGAATTTCTGGATTTCGCCCATGGGGTCTGTGGGGCAGCCTGTAGCCTCCCCAACAGCAACCTTCAGGCCAGAATTAGGGAGCAGCTGCAGACCATCTCCAACTCCTACCACATCCTGCTGGAGACCAAGGAGGGCCTGGATGGCTGCAACTGGTCCCTGGACGTCCTTGTGTCTGACAAAGTCCAGAACAACCTGGATGACCTGGAAAGATTTGTCTTGGTGGCGCGGATGGTTCCAGAAGACATCAAGAGGTTTGCCTCCATGGTCATTGCCAACGGGAGGCTCCTTTTCAAGCAGAATTGTGAAGAGGAAGAGACCGTGCCCTTGACCCCAAACGCAGAATTCAAGCTTGCAAAATGCATCCAGCTTCCCCGAAGGGAAATGGAATCCTACCAACGGAGTGCGCCTGGTACTAAACAGGGGGACAGCAGATTCTGCCCTGACCTGCTCAGGAAAAACTGCACCAATGTCTGTGAGAAGGTGAGTTGGAGACCAGAGACCAGAGTTGTGTGACATGAAGGGCTTCTTGTATTTATCTGGCATAGTCGCCAACAAGTCAGACCCTGAGAATCTTTCAGTAGCTGTATAGGCTTTGGGAGACACTGGTTCCACTTTCCAAAAAAATAAAATTTATGGAAGTAAAATTCTAGATGAAATCTTATTAAGAAGTAAGATGAAAATTTTAAATGAAGGCAGATAGGATGTCTTCTGGAAATTTGAGGGTTTGGGGTTCACCTCTGACACTAAGATGAGAAAGGACTTGAAAATTCTTTTGAAACCCATTCTTTGAGCCAGTTTCTTAATCTTACCATCAAATTTTCTTGCATTTTCGAAAACTATGAATTTAGTCAATGTTAGTGTGTTTCTTAGAAACAGAAGAAGGCAGTGTACACACTCTTCCAAACTGTGTGTGGTCTAAGCAGCCTTGAGACTCCAGGTGCTCTTAGAAAAACTGCTGCATGAGTTCAGACACTGTAGAGACAGAGCATTCGGTTCAAGGATTGCGAGTCTCAGGAAGCCCAGCAGGTCACCGGGGGGCTGTTCAGCCCAGTTTTGGTATCTTGGTATCCTGCTGAAATGCCTTGTTCTGTATGAGGTTTGACATACTCTAGACAAGCTAGAAACTTGGATGGTTTTCATTTCCCAATTAAATAAATAAATATGTATATATACAAATCTAAAATAAAAAGGACCTGTATGTCATTATACTAGGCCGTATCAGTAGACACAATCCAGCCCTTGGGCGGCCAGAGTGTCCTTTGCTGAAAAAGGCATCAGCGCACAGAGCAGAAACCTGAAGAGGAGTGCTCAGAATGCAGAGTGGACTTATAGAGCCATCGGGTCATATAAAAACCATAAAAACCATTCAAGGGGGTGATTCAAAGCATTTGTCTTTTTCAGAAGTTGCCTAACCTGGAGGAGAAAGTGAAACCCATCCTGGAACAAAGGCTGGACGGAAGCAAAGACTTAGAAACACAGGTAAGCGAGACCGCTCACCCGCAATCAGCTGCTTCCTCCCTGGAGATGTTTCCTGCTGTGAGTCATTCAGCATATAGCCATGACCCACTGGGGAGGAGACTTGGTTTTTGTGATGGTTTTCCTTTTCATGCTGGAAGGGACCCTGGAGATGGTGGGTTCAGTGAGCCCCAGGGTGGAGAAGGTGGTCTGTAACCATTCGTGAAATAACGCCAGCTGCTCTGCCTGTCCACCACAGGCGGAGTCCACGGGCTCACATTCCCTTTGACATTCCCTCTTACGGCCTCTGATGTCAACTGAAAGGCCCTTTGGGTTTGGGGGCCTGTGTATCTTCAGCATCTTTTGACACTTGATGTTCTTTTTTTTTTTAATCGAAGATGTTATNTGCCAACACGGCAGTGAGTCCACGGGCTCACATTCCCTTTGACATTCCCTCTTACGGCCTCTGATGTCAACTGAAAGGCCCTTTGGGTTTGGGGGCCTGTGTATCTTCAGCATCTTTTGACACTTGATGTTCTTTTTTTTTTTAATCGAAGATGTTATCATTGTGTTTATTTTTATTGATGGCCTTTTCTTGGTGGCAAATCACAGCAATCTTCCATTTACCAATTTAAAAAGTTCCCTTTAAATTAATATAAGCTGCTCCATTTAAAGGCAAAGATTAAGCCCTAGCGGGTTTGGCTCAGTGGTTAGAGAATCAGCCTGCAGACTGAAGGGTCCCTGGTTCGATTCTGGCCAAGGGCACGTACCTCGGTTGCAGGCTCGATCCCCAGCCCTGGTCGGGGCACGTGCAGAAGGCAACCAATCGATGTGTCTCTCTCAAGTCGATTCTCTCTCTCTCTCCCCCCACCTTCTACTCTCTCTGAAAAGCAATAAGAAAAATATCCTCAGGTGAGGATTTAAAAAAAAAAAGACAAAGATTAAGCAAGTTGACTTGAAGATGAAGGCAGGAAGGGCATGACTGTGAAGGTTTTCTTTGAATCAGGGAAGCCTGGGAAGCAGTGAACCAGTTTATCCCCTGGCTGGGGAGGGGTAGGAGGGGGAGGGACAGCGATGACCAGTCATGTGGACAAGATCATTTGCCTTCTCAGAGGCTAAAGAGGCCCAGAAGCCAGGCCTCCTGGTACGCAGGTCTCCGAGCCTCAAGCACCTGTCTTTGGGCCTGCCAGGTGGCTGAAAGCCATGCTCTTTTGTTCAACGTGAAGTACACCTGAGACCAGCGCCTCTAAACTTGAGAGTGCACTACAGTCTCCTGTAGGGCTTCTTAAAACCCAGGGGCCCCACTCCTAGAGTTTCTGACTCAGTAGGTCTGGGGTGGGAGCAAGAATTTCTTATCTAACAAGTTCCCAGTGAGGCTGATGCAGCAGGTCCATGGGCCACACTTGAGAAATCACTGCTTTAGACGAACAGTGCTTCTCAGTGGGGCTGGGGTACCACTGACCACTGGGGGACAGTTGTGCATTGTGTGGGTGGCACTCAGCACCCCTAGCCCCTGCCCTCTAACTGCGTGCAGTGCTCCCTGGTCAGTGTGATAGATAACCAGGAACATCTCCACACAGTCCAACCCCCCGAGATGAGAGTCCTGGCACATTTTTATTTACCTGCACTTCACACTTTCAGGCTAAGCTGCCAACATTCCAACATCGAGGTTGTTGCTTTTTGTTCCAGCCTCCGCTGCATCCTTCTTGTGCTCCGTGCCCCCAGGGATCCATCTCAGCCAGCACCCCCATCTCTTCTTCCCTTTGCCTGTCTATTTTAATCTGTGTGCTGCTCTAACAGAGTCCTGTAGACTAGGTGGCTTATAAACATCAGACATTTATTTCTCACAGCCCTGCGGGCTAGAAGTTGGAGACGAGGGTGCCTGCATGGTCAGGTTCTGGGGACAGCTGTCTCCCAGGTCTCGGCCTGTCTTCTTGCTGTGCCCTCACGTTGCAGGGAGCAGAGAGGGCAAGCAAGCTCCTCCTGAGCCCTAGAAGGGCACTAATCCCATCTATGGGGACCCACCCACAGGACTGCATCTGATCTTATTCACATCCCAAAGGCACTATGTCCTCACATCTTCACACTGGAGGGCAGAGTTTCAACATATGGATTTGGGGACGACACAGTCAGACCATGCCACTGTCTGGGGGCTTCTGGGCTGTGCGTTTTGAGATCATAGGTCAGTGAGAGAGTGCACAGTTTAATGGAAAGAATGAGTTTCAGGCTCCGCTGACTTGGCCTAGGCCTCCAGATCTTTATTTTGCTCATCGAATGACTCTGGACAGTCTCCTTTCTTCAGGGAGCTTCAGTCCCCTCACCTATAACCCGACAGCAGGGCTTTTGGTTGTTACCTGGAGTGGCCGCCAGTATGTTGGATGCTGAGAATCTTTCCACAGTGGGTAGACTTTAGGGGAACATTGGTTCCATATTCCAGAAAACAAAATTCATGAAAGTAAAACTCCAGGTGAAACCTGACTAGCGAGCAAGAGAAATCTTTTCGTATTAAGGCAGGTAGGTCAGCATATTTTGATTACTTCTAAAAATTTTTGAGGTTCAGGCTCTACTTCTGAACTGGAGTTAGAAAGGATTTTTTAAATCCTTTAAAACCTGTTCTTTGAGGAAACATTTGAATCTCACCATCAAGTTTTCTTGCATTTTTGAAAGTTATAAAATTCGTCATTGTCAGTGTGCTTCTTAGAATGGGTTTCCGATGGTTTGTTGAGAGAATGGACTAAGATTTCATATATTTGTATAAAATATGTAAGATTATATATATGACATTTTATAAGATTGTATACAGGGTGTCCCCAGAACATGTATACACACTTTATTTATTATTTTTTATTTATTTTAATCTTCATCTGAGGATATTTTTTCCATTGCTTTTCAGAGAGAGTGGGAGAGAGAAACATCAATGTGAGAGAGACACATCGATTGGTTGCCTCCCACACATGCCCCTGAGGCTGGAGCCTGCAACCGAGGTACATGCCCTTGGCCGGAATCAAACCCAGGGCCCTTCGGTTGACCGGCCAGCACTCTAACCACTGAGCCAAACCAGCCAGGGCTATACACACACTTTAACAGCTGACAGCTCAATTGATGTTTCTTTCTTCTCAGCCAGACTAAGCTTTGAACAAAGGAAATTCATCCTAAAATGCTATTGGAAGTTTGAAAACACAGTTGAAGTACAAACACTGCTTTTATAATTATTCAAAGCGTGTATACATTTTTGGGACACCCGATATATTACAGTTTGTATATAACAGTGCTTTGAAAACATTAACATTAATTTGTTAGGCAAATGTTGCCCTAGGGGGCTTCCCACACAAAATTGCACTTTTTCTTATAAAAGTCTACCAAATTGAACAAAAACAGGCAAAGGGAGCCAAGCACAAGCTGTTGATGGAATCCGCCCCTTATCTACCTTTCCTTCCCCTTCCCCAGGACCCCACCTCCCCCGCGGCCCGAGCGGGGTGTCGGCAGGATCCCGAGACGAAGGTCCACCTTTCGGAGCACTGCCGGCTCTACTTCGGGGCGCTCTTCAAAGCCATCGGTGCCTTTCACAGCAGCCTGGGCCACGGCCAGCGCCCCGAGATCCTCGTTGTGCAGAGCAAGCTGGTCATCATGATCGGGCAGAAGCTGGTGGACACGCTGTGCAAGGAGACCCAGGACAGAGACGTGCGCAACGAGATCCTGTGTGGCAGCAGCCACCTCTGCAGCCTGCTCAAGAACCTGGCTCTGGCCACCAAGCACGCGGTGCTCAAGCACCCAAGCCCCGCAGCCCTGGGCCACCTCCAGGCCGAGGCCCAGAAGCTGGAGCAATACACTCGGCAGTTCAGAGGGACGCTGGAGTGAGCCTCCCTCCCTTCTGTACAACTCTGCTTTACAGGGAAAGCCCGCCTGGGGATGCGCCAATGGGCCAAAACAGCCACGTGCCCACAGCCGGTGTTATCCGGTGCCCAGGCAACCCCAGGACATTGACTTAGCCCACAGAGTCAGGGAAGAGAGACAGCTGTTAAGTAAGGACACTGCTAAGTGTTTCTCACATAAGGTCAGTGTATAAAGTGACACTGCAGAAACCAATTTTTATATTGGTTAAATATGTGCTTGTTTTAAATTCATTCATTTAATATTTATTTATTGGGCACCCTACTGTATGTCCAATTTTGGGTTCCGCGCATGTAGCAGTAAATTAAACAGAAACCTCACCCTCAGGGAGCTTATAATCTAGTGGGGAGACGGGCAATACAATGACAGAGAAATACGTATACAGTACATCAGGTGCTAGGAAGAAAATAAAGCCAGGGAGGGGAAAGAGGCTTATTTTCAAATGAGTAATTTCTGTTGCATTCGTTAGATAAGGTAATGAGTATTTCGTTTTTGATTGAATTAATTCTGTGAGATTGGTACAAATTATGTATCTGTGTCTTACACCAAATATATATTTATATTGGCTGTTTTATCTTCACCGAGTTAGAGATGCACATTATATTTGCAACATATCCTGTTCTGTTGGGTTCCCCATTAATTTATTTTGTACATTGTAGATTCTGTGTTGATAAATTCAGGATGCTCAATCAGCAAAAGTGTATACCTCAACATTTATGATATTGTCATTTATAGTATTATGTAAATATAATCATGAAACATCCTTTGCACCAGTGCTTTCCTTGGAAGAGCCTTTGAGCTTTGTTACCTGGGTTCTGATACCAAAGCGAAGCCTCCGATGTTCACTTCCAGTATTCAAATGCTTTGCCCCAGAGTGTGCAGAGGGACGCAATAGAGGCTAAGTTCTCGTGCACAAGGCTAGCACGGGAAAAGCAAAGCCGCCCCCCATGGCCAGCCAGGAAGTGTGGTGGGGACACACAGGATACCCATCTCTGGGCACAGAGCTAAAAGTGGCTCGGAGCTCCCTCGCTTCAAACCACCTCCTCTTCTCCTAG